CAGGAACATTTTCAGCATGGAAAAAGAACCGCCAGTATTTTATACCCCATCCTCTGTAGCCCAAGCAATTCCAGCACATCATTCCCAGCAGCATTTCAATATAAAGTACGTTGTAAGGTAATCCCTCATCTGCTGCAGCTCACAACTCTGCGACTCCCCGAAGAGCAACGTGGCTTTTCTCTGAGAGACCCGGTTGAGTGGTGGTGAACCAACCACGACCCACCAGTGAGCTCCCGAAGCCGGAGAGAAGCGGCACCACCGCAACCGCAACCCCAAATCTGCGCCTGCCTAGCCTCCCCGCGGACACTGCGGCTCCATCCAGCCCGCCTCGGTCCCTTCCATAAAACCGTAACCTTGGCCAAGGTTGCTCTGCCAAGAACCTGCCCAGCTCTCCAATCCACTGTCCTCTCCGTGCAGCCGGGCACAAAGTTTCTGCTAAGCACATTACTGCCGACTCCTACACTCGTCATAAATTCAGAAGCTGTGGAGAGCTCCGTTCCGAAATATTCTGAGGCACAAATGAGGACATGGTACAGATGCTGCAATGCAGCATTTATTTAACCAGCTCCCACACCAAACAAAACACATCCTCTGCAAGCACAATTCTTTCTAATTGGGGTCGAGCTAAATTTAAGTTCTATTTGGTTTCCTTTGAGAGAAAAAAATTAGGGGGAAAAAAGTCTACCTACCTACAAAGGGAACAAGGCCCCTTCACGAGTCAGGGATTATGCTGAATTTGCTGCATCTCACAGCTCCATAAAACAAACCAGCATGGCAGGTGTCAACAGCACCAAACCAACTGGGAACATCTCTCAGGGCAATGAAGAAACAGCTACTCCCTGCTAAGCTTGGTCTGCTTCCAAATGACGCTTCATTGGCAGGGGAAGTATTCAAAACCCAGAAGGAGCCAACAAATGAATAACGCACCAAAATTAAATGGAGACGGGCCTCTTAAGGCAGGCTCCACCGGGTGACTGGAGCCGACCGGAGAGGAATTGTGCAAACCAACGTACTTGAAGGAAGTATCACCACAACCCTTGCTAGATTTAGACCCAACAGAGAAGTCAATCCCTCACATCAAAACTGGTTTTACTCCTACAGGTAACAGCCCGTAACTCAGTCCTGACACGTGACAGAGAAGGGGAACAAAAAGGACAGACCGCTGTCACCTTCCCTGGAAGCAACACACCTATGCCTACCCCAGCCCAGTGACCAGGAGCACATGTGGCTCCTAATTCCCCTTTTCAAAAGCAGCTTAGAACACGGATGATTTTGAAAAATGATCCTGTGATCTGCCCGTGACTCGGATCTCCTCTAAGAAACCAGAAAACACTGCTTCCTTCCCCTCACTGCTGTCTTGTCTGCAGGGGCCTTGGGGAAAGTTTCACACCACGGGGAGGAATAACTCCTACCACAGAAGGGCCCCATCGTGGTTTGGGGAGCTCAAAGCGTCAGCACACTACAAACTGGAATTAAAAAAAACATAACCAAACCCAGGACACTGCCTGCCTCCAGTTGCCAGCCCAATAATCACTGCAATCCCCAGCATGAATCACCAGGCATCCAGAAAGAGTTTAAGGTGCCGTACTCACCCCTACCGCTGTCACTGTAAACATTTGTTAAAATCCTTACCTCCCTCCCTATACCTGCTTATAGTGTTACTTCTCAGATCCACACACATCAATTAAAAAAAAATGACAAACTGCATCCTCATCAGAAATGAAAAGGCAGCAGCAACCCCAGCCTGCTTGTTCCACTCGTCCCATCTCACCCAGACACCCTCCCCTAGGGAGAAACTCCAATAAACAGACATATTATGTCCTGAAGTTTGGCAGACGCAAGTTCTGTCACGCCAGCCTGAGAGGAACCTTAGAGCCAGCACTGCCTCAGTGCAAGACTAACCTCAAAAACTCAGGTAAACTAAGACAAATGCTTTGCTCGTTCAGGACTCGGCGCAGGCTGACGGTAAAGCACGTGCACGGAGCTTTGCAGGATGGAACCACCTGGGCTCTCGCTCCGTTACGGTAAGACGGCTCGCATTTCTGTATCGCTTTCCTCCTATATATCTCATGCCAATTTATTCTCCTTTTGAAAGAGGCGCAATGGATGCAGAATGAGAGCGATTACTTGCTGAGCCCACAGAAAGACAACAGACTGCAGTAGGTAAAACATTTCCTCTGTGTTTATAAATTCCCTTCTGGGTATAGACACAGGAGAGCAAATACACTCTTCTCCTAGCTAAGCAATCTGAGCCAGCTGCCTCAACATAGTGTTTAGTAAAAAAATGTCAGACCTATTTCAGTTCTTGTCCTTCCTTATCCCTTTTATTCTCTCGGTCTGCTCCTCTCTCACCACTGCCTATCGAAAAGACAAGCAAAGTTTCAGATGTTCATGACTGCAAAATTGGTACTTCTCATGCTGTTTCACAGCGAATTCTTGAGAATTTAAGCTTTGTCAGCTTCCCAAAGCTGACAATTAGTAAAATTCTTAACATAACTCCAGTTTGAGTCAATATTGCATTTCCAAGGAGCACATGAATGCCTTGCCACTTATTTCACACACTGGACAGTGTCATTTTGTCCTTCAGTCTTGCTACATCTTTTAGGTATTGGACAGCAACCCATCAAAGTTAGCATTAACCTAAACTGATCTATAAATGTATTGCGTTCTTTTTTATTTTTTTCTGAACTGAGATGTTTTGTGGTTGCAATCCCAAAGTATTACCAGCAGGTACCATGCACAGACTGCAGCTACAGTTCTCTGTGCTCCTATAAAAATACTCGTTTATGTTCTGGTTATGAGGTGAAGGAGCAGGACTGCATCTTTGCTCTCTCCAGTTCAACCTAGGGTCTCCTGTGATATCTCCATCCCCTTTCAGCAGATCAGCACTGCAGCTGGCTCCAAGACTGAGAAACGTTAATGCTACAGAATGAGGGAATCTTAAAATGCTGTGCATGCACGGAGCTTGATTCACAGGAACCCAGAAATGTCTCCACAAAACCAATCCCGGGGATTACGTCACTTGGAATACAGGTCAGAGAGCTGAATCACACAGTAGAAAAACAATCCTGCTGTGTGAAATGGAGACATGCCCCTGTTAGCAACATTCAGTTTGGATCTGCTTCACTCCAAGGAGTTAGGAAAGAGTTATTAAATCAAGGGTAAAAGCCACTGGTAACTTCGCAGATGAAGAGACCTCATTAGCACAGCTCAGTCACAGACACTCGGTTGCACGTGATGGGAGGGGAGCGACCAGAAGAAGTAGTGAGCTCCTAGAGACTGTCTAACAGGAGCCTCCTTCAGCTCAGGATGTGTCTTTTATTCCTAAATAAAATGCCCACCCCTTAAAGCCAGGGGAAGAAGTCAGCGCAGAGGGCAGGGAAAAAACTTTAATTACTGCTGACTTGCACCTAACTAAAATGGACAGAAGGAGGGCTGGGGATAAAAGAGAATTCTCTCTTTCCCATTAATGAGCTCACTCTGCTGGCAGGCCTCCTGCCCTCCAAGATTGCTCCCACAGCATGAATATAAACCCAGCTCTATAGCTACCCGGTGGTGTACATTACCTACTCCTGATGTAGCTCTTACATGGGTTACTGTCTGTTTCTGTCTCCAAACCATTCAGTTTTTGGCTCTCTGATGCTTTTCAAGCCCCAGCAATAACGATCTCTACTGGTTCCAATTAACAAGCCAGTGAGCCTTGCCACAGTCCTGATTCCATAAGGACAAGCTCATATTATTCACCAACTGGTAGTAAACCACTTCATGTCAGTCAAGGGAGTGCACATTGCTGTTACCAACTGAATCAGTCGGAAAAAGTGCACGAAACAGCTCCCCACCCTTTACCATCCCGTCTCCAAAAGGCACTCATATGAACAGGGAGTCTGAAGTACCACTGAAGACAAATTTAACAGAGGAACTCCTTCCCTACTCCACACATCACTTCACTGCTCCTTCAGCCCGCATACAAAAGCCGGGAGCCATCAGATTACAACTCCGGCATACGAGGTCTACTGCAAAAATCTACTGCGTCAGGCAAGGAGCAAAAATACGAAGGAGATCGACAAGCTGACATAGCCAGACAGTGATGCTAACCCATCACTAATTTCCTGATGGCTTTAACTCCTGAGCAAGCTGGCTGCAGCCCACGGCTGCTCCATGCTGCTTTTCTAAATAACCCTCAGCGTCGGCCGTTTATGGGAATGACCTCGGCTAGTGAGCTGTGAAAGAATTCGGGTCCTCTGTGTGCCTCTCAGCAATGCAGGTACCTCCCCGATTTCCCAGCCTAGGTCGGAGATGCCACAATGAGAGGGTAGGAAAGAGCACGTGAAATGAAAGTTCATCTGAGGAAGAGTAGGAACAACTGTGTAATTTTTTTCTTGGAACAAACAGCTCTTCTCCGCTACCTCCCTAAACTGCTGATGGGAAGGTGAAAGGGACCGAGAAAAGCTACAGAAAACTGACCACGACAAACTGAGAGAAAGTAAGCTGTGACAAAACGTAACATTCCAGTTAATTCCTGTAACTTTTGTGAAATCAAGGGAAACATAACATTCCAGTTAATTCCTGTAAATTTTGTGAAATCAAGGGAAAAAGCAGATGAAGGATTTACACTGCAAATTGTGCTATCAGACAAGGGTATCATACATCATCAAAGAATCATACAAAGGTACTGAGTTAGGGAAATGCATGGGTTTAACATACCAGTTAATTCTTCATTGACACTGACACATAAATAAAGCTTATTTCCCTGAAAAAAACCATTTATTTGGAGACTTCAAGAGGTTGAGATCTTATCTTCAGCAGTTCCATCCATCTTCAGCGCTCCCATGTCGAACCACAATGCTTGCTTCTTATTAGCACTAGCCTCGATTTATCTTTCAGCCATCGATTTTTGTTATACATTTCTCTGCTAGTACCCACTAGCCCTTTGCTAGGTATGATCACCCTGAAATAAGATTCCTAACAGAGGAAGAACTCAAGAATGGATTGTTTCTTACCGTCATGGCCAGAGTTGAGAAGATGCTCTCCCAGGTCACAGCCGAACACCCTTTCCTTCAGGATCCCCCGCTGTTTCAGCTTCTGTTTTGTTGGGCGCGACTTCATGAATGTACGAAGGAAGGTGATGAGCTTGCCGTGTTTTTTCGACACTGCACAACAAAATAAAAAAGAAAAAAACCCACTTCATTTTAGATTTGGCTCCGTTAGGCAAGGCTAAGCATGACACATTCTACAGAGCACGTAAGAACTGTAGTAACATTAGTATCAATTATTTACAGAAACAGGTTTTCCAAGGTCCGATACTAAACAGAGACTTGGCTTTTGTTCTAATTTCTTGGCTAGTGCAGAAATAACAGGAGACAGCTGTAATGGAAGAATTTAACACAAAGACACATTTATCTGCAAAGCAGCTTCAGGTGGGAGTGTACTAAAGGACTGTCAGGGCATACTGGATGGTGGGCAGCACCCGAGAGCTGCAATTTTCATCTCTGGAAAAATGAACAAGGCTAAACTTACAAAACCAGTCATCTCATGTACCTTGACAAACACGGTATATAATCTACAAGCAGAAATAAATGCTTTGTTACTGGCTCTCATTCTAGTAGTCTTAGGTGCCTCCAGAACAAACGAATGACTAATAATATCTGAACGTAGAGGACGTTTAGCTCTAAGTGCTATAGGCTGCCCTTCCAGCACACCTGCAATTTCAATGAACCCCGCTGCAGCTGTGGAGGTACAGTCCATTCCAGGGCATTGAGCTCCCTGAGCCTTCTCAAGCCTTTGCAAGACAAAAGCATTACTGTCTTTGTTTTATTTAATAAAAAACTAAGGCAGCTGATTTGAAGAGATGCAGTTTATCCCCTCCAGAATAAATACAAGAAGTCTACAAAGAGAGGAGAACATAGCTCAGGAGCCATCCCTCCAAACCTTCTGCCCCGTTTCACTCCGCAATGCCTCTGTGTTACCGAGTCGGTCCCTCTGTTAAAACCATGCTAAGGAGCATAAGCCACAGTTGAAGGAAGGGCAGAAGTGGGTGACAGGAATAAACTCATGCAAATTGGGAGGAGAGGCTGAGCACAGGCTTCAATGGGCAGCAGAACAATGCCCTTGAATGTCAACTTTTCTTCCTGAGGCCCACTCTGAAAGCAAAAGGGCTCTGGCCTCCCCAACAAAAGTGCCATTGTGTACATGATTTAAAGGCAGTTTAACTTCAACAGAAGAGCTCTATTGAAAAGAACAAATCGCTAGGTATGAAAGGCTGCGCTTTGTGAGGGAGCCTCACGGCCCCAGGAAGCCGTAAAGGCTCCCGCAGCATCGCCAGGCAAGACCAGCAATCACTGCCCTGCCCCTCTCTCAGATCCCAGAGCGGGAAGACAACCGTATATTTCACCTGCATTAAAACCCTAAGTACTGTAATCAAATTTCAGCAGAGTAAAGCTATTTCAAACAAAAAAGAAAAGCAGTGAAGACCCTGGTGACAAAGGTGCATCTCTTCAGTGTCACTACTGCTCGGTAACATGTACAACCTGAAATTCAGTGAGCAGCCTCGGAAGCTGGGACTCGGCAAAAGAGAGATTTATGCTATAATGCTTTATACAGGCAGACAGGGTATTCTTCAACCAGACAACACGAAAAACCTTGTCCCAGGAACAAGGTTATACCGTGCTATGCTTCATGCTGTTTTAATCCCTTTAAACTGCTGAGTGTTTTACCTTCTATTTTACCAGGTATCAGTGCAGTCCCCCTATTTATAATAAACCTGATTCCAATGACCTTAACATATTTCTGTCTACGTGTGTAGAACAGAGGTCTGCTTTTGGATAAAGTCCCTTTTAGCAGCGTGACACCACATTGATCTGCAGCAGCCAAATACATCTGAACACCTGAAATCCTAAAATCTCCAACAAACCCCATGTCTGCATTCTCAACAACCAAACACGAATCATTTAACAAAACGCAGAAGCATTGAGCATGACAAACTGTGGCGATGGGGGCTTTAATTAAAGGAATGTTTTCAGTTTGACGGGGTCTTTAATTACACACAATAAGTGAACAGATTGTGCTGACATGCCAAAGTTAGGGTAGATTTTGGTTGTATCCATCATCACAGTAAAGTAAGGGCTCATTTATCATCTCTTATCAGTCCCACTCAAGAATAAAGGGAGACAGAGTCTCATCCTGGCTTGTGTGGAATTTCAAAGGGTTAGCACCCTCGGGCTCCTGTGATAGTGCTATTGGAGGTGATAGACCCAAGACAGATGCTTTTACAACAGACAAATAAAGCAATTACTAATACATATGTATTCACTTGAATAATTTCACAGACTCCGTACACAGTTCTTCATGAAGTCTCTTGCTTGACTTACTGAAAAATGAGTCCATCAGGTAATGGACTTAAAATGGAGAAAAATGCATCCAGTTCCAGTGCTGCAGAAATTCTACTAATGCTGTGAATTTTGGGTCTCACCTCAGGCATTAAAAACAGAAAAAGGTGCAACGGATACACTTCCATGATCCAAGGATGCACTTTGCTTGGTACTGATACTTGTTTACATCCCTAACCAGAAAGGAGACCTGAGATTTTTAAACACAATAAATCTGCTCTGCCTTTCAGCCACTCGGTACGGGTTAAAATAATTGTCTTGTTGTCTGCACCATTAAGCAGCCTCCCACAAACACACTCCCATAGTGTACCCGTGCAACAGTCCAAGACACTGAGCATGTTAAGTAACCAGAAATTCACTTATCACCGGCCTGTTGAAACATTTGCATGGTTCCTTGGTTAAAGACAGCTTCCCGCACC